TATGTTGTTAAATCTTTTCTGATATGATCTTCAGAAGGCTTATGTTGTCTTGGCTCCTAACTTTAATCTTCTTGCTTCTCCGAACATACGTGTGAAACACTCACACGCTAAGTCGTTGACTTAGTGAGGCAGATCAAATGTATCATAAAATATTACATCATTTAATCATATTCTAAGTATTTCATGCAATCATGTAAAGAAAACATGGAACGCATCATATAATGAAAGCACATATATGCACATATATTATACATATCCTCATCATCATCATTATCATTATCATTATCATTCACTGTTCATTTATATTTTTTTTCTTTTAATAACCCATGGTACATCATTGAGAACTTAAGATATATGAGTGCATTGAGGTTGTGCACAAATGTTGTCACCACAACTCGTATAAATTGCATCGAAGTGCCGCGTAGAAATTGCACCGAAGTGCCACATAATAATGTCCCGAAAGACCACATAGTATTGTCCCGAATGATCGCGTAGAACCCTCGACTCTTGGCATGCCAATTATACCATTAGCTCTCATATCACATACTTATGGGTTTACCTTTTATACCATTTCACATAGCTGATCACATAGGAATGTATTCACATATACCATTTTCATATTTCACATATTCATATAATCACGTATTCAATATCACATAGACATATAAGTACATATATCCTTATCACCTAGCTTATATCACATGTTCATATAATCTCCTAGGTCAATAACACATAGCTTATATCATATTCTTATGTAATCACATAGATCACATAACATATAGATTATGGTCACATAACATATTTTACATGTTCATGTAATCACATAGACCAAGTAGAACAATGCATATAATACATAGGCATATGCTTGTATTTAGGGACACATAGAAATCATATCACATCATATTAGTATTCATAAATCATAAAATCCAATTATTGGAAATAGACTCATCGCAAGTCTTATTTCTCATATCACCATATATTATAGTAGTATGCACTCACCTTGGCCTCACTAGTCAAAGCAAAATACTTATAACTCTTGCATACTCTTATAAGTTCAAACCGTCCGAAACTTACCTTTGTTCAATATCTACACAATAATGTGATTGGTATAAATATCGTAATTCGTATCACTATAATAAATCCTTAATAACATAAGCTAAACGAATCGCTTAATTCACCATTTCTCTTTGAATAGTATCGGTACCCAAGGTACAGTACCAATACTTTCTTACTGTGGTATCGATACTTTACTTCAGTATCGATACTCTTCCTAGATATCGGAATTCGTCTTATAAAAATGGTACTGATACTTGTACATTGGTATCGATACCCCTGGTATCAATGTTATTCATTTAGTATCGATACTCTTAAAATGATTCATCAACTTTTACCTTATGGTATCGATACTGCTCATCCAGTATCGATACCCAGACCCCGATATCACCTATTTTGCTTTGAAATATCGGTATTGTTCATCCAGTACCGATACCCCTTACCTAGAACTTGTTCGTTTCAATTTGAAATTTGACCAAACTCCCTGAAACCTTCCACTATGACCTCGTCTCAAGCCTTTAAACTTCATTATACTTATAAAAACTAACTTATTTTACTCTAACATACTTAATCATCCAAAATCTCATAATTTCACGTGAAACTAAAAATCTTACCAAAAATTCAACATGTTCTAAATCCATTTATAATACTTTAGATTTCTTATTTCAGCTTATGACAAGTCAAATATGACTTCAAAATCCATTTATTAACATTTTCTCATCAATTCACTTAAAAACTTTTTTTTCAATCACTCATAACTTGAAATTCTTTTAGTTTCTACTTCTCTTTTAGCTTCCTTAAGCTTTCCTAACACTCCAAGAATCAAAACCAACTTAAAAATTAAATGAATAATCAACAACAAACATACTCACCTTAGCTAGGAACTCACGGTGGAGAGTAAAAAGAAATATGAAGAAGATAGAGAATTCTAGACTTCCTTATAACTCATCTTCCCTATTCCTCGAGTTTATAATACACTCCTCATAAATTTTTAATTAATTAATTATCAAAAGACCAAAATGTCACTTCCTCTTTTAATCTTTGCTAAACAATCCTATATAAAAATATTCCAAATAAATCCTTGAACTTTCTAATTTATCTAAATTGACCAAAAATTTTAAAATCTTGCACTTTGGTCACTATCCCAGTTTTTGGGATGTTACAAGTTATGTACTTTTGCATGTTTATGACTCTGCACCCCAACATGTTCATGTAATGAATGCATGTAGTATTACTGCATAGTTATTCTTGTGGCACTAAGCTTGTGAACTCGGTGTATGAAATGTGTTTCAGTGCGCATGTTAGTAGGGAATCATTGAGGAGCCTATCGCATCCGTACATTCCAGACCAGAAGATTTGTAGAGTATGTCTTGAGTATTTGTAGAGGGCATGTATTCTAGACCTTATATAATCGAGTCATAACTCTATTTTGATTTTAAACCCTATGGTTGTGATATACGTATTTTGGAGGACTCCTATATTTTGTAAATGTTGAATTGATTTCCACTATAATTTATGATGAATTATTTTGATGATTATAAATGTTTTGAAAAAGAAATTTTCGGGTTGACCATTTCGGTAGTTCCGTGTGGCATCGTAATTCATGGATCTTCGAATTAGACTGGATTAAGGTGTTACATCTGGTGTATTTGGGGTACCTCGAGTATGATCTCTTACTCCTTGGATTACTTATCCAAAATTGTTCGTGGGTACCGATACTGACCGTTCAATATCGATACTAAACCTTGGGTATCGATATCCACCTGTTGGTATCGATACTCTTTGAATGATATAGGCTAATTGAGTAATGTAGTATCGACACTCTATGCTGAGTATAGATACTCTAGTGTTGGGGTATCAATACTGGCCTGAGTATCGATACTAAATTTAGGTTCGATGAAAATTACCCTAGTATCGATACCCCTTTCTTGGTATCGATACTCTATGTGAGTACCGATACCAAAATTGTATTCTGGAATATTGGTCTCGATACCAGCCCGATCAGTATAAAAAACGAGGCCTCAATATCGATACTCCCTGAATGAGTATCAATACTACCCCATAGAAATTACCTAATTTTTTGCCTAATTAATGAACAGTATCGATATTGTGGGAACAATATCGATACACCTGCTACGATGTGCCCTGTTTTTGCACGAAAAATCCTATCTTTCTTTCCCAAAAGCCCTATTGAGGTCCCAAATGGATGTTTAAGTGTTTTATCTAATAGTATGGGTCATAAAGAGTCCACAAACATGCTGAAAACACCCAAACAATGCAATCTACCATGAACATGCTTCAAGCTTATGTAGCCTACCAAAACTCACCTAATAAACTACTTGTGGTAGAGTTGAGTTAGAAATACCTGATGATTTAAACTGCTGGAATTTCTTAATAACTCAACCAAGAGTAAGTTTCTCTTTCCCTCTAACCTTGGAGCTCTCTCCAACTTCTCTCACTAAAAAGAATCAAATACAAAGGTTAGTAGTTGAGTGGAGAGGTTTATGAGGCTTTAAGCACACTATCTAAGCTTAGAATTTCCTGAAAACGAATTAAATCCTCTAGGTTTCTTAAACCCTTACAAAACTCATTTTTACAAACCATGGTCAAAACTTACTCTTTTGGTCTCAAATGAAAGCTCTAGAGGTGCAGAGTTTGGTTCTTACCTTTAAATTGCTTAACTAGGTTTAATAGGTTACCAAGTTTTCACCTTTGAAGATTGCAAGAGAATAAAGAAGGGAGAATAAGAGACAAAGAGGGATAAAGAAAATAAAAGATGAATGCCAGACGTGAGATCACCAATTTTAATTGGTTTTTAAACTTTATTTTGAACAATGGTATAATTATTCTCTTAGCCCTCTTGGTTTTGGTTGCAAACTAAAAATACATTTTTTACTCTCTATTGGGCTTAATTCAAGCCCAATTTCACTTATTCTTGGGTCAAGACTTCCTATAAGCTAAGGAATTTATTCAAGGCCCATCTCGGGTTAGCCCGAACTCCTAACCCAAGATCTGGAGCATTACAAATATTATATCTAAAATATTATATGTTACAAGTTACCCATGAATGTTATAAGAAACCCCAAAGAAGAAAAATAACCCACTATACATGGAGTGAAGCATACAAGAAAATAACCCACCACTTTAATCATCTTGAAACAATGGAGGGCAAATGCTCAGATTCTTGATGATGACACCCTTAATCAAAATCTTACCATGCATAAGGATCTTCTAAGATCAACCCATCCCAATTTGAATCTCTTGTCTAAGTGGTCAATTGTTTGGATCTATTTCCACCATGCATAGAGCTCTCTAACACCCATGTTCAGCTAGAGATAATCATCGACATTAGAAGGGTTGTTTTCTAGATCCAAACGGTGAAGAGAAGTGCAATAATGAGAGGACTAAATTACTTTCGTTTGGGATTAATCTGACCACGAGATTAGAGGGTGGGTGATGATTTTTCGGTTGCCTTCTCTCACCAAAGCTTCACTTTTCTATTTTAGAGAAAAGAAAACAATGAATATAAGAGTGAAAGATTATTAAAAATTAATAAAAAAAATTATCATTTCATCACATATTAAAAGTAAAACGGTGGAGTAAAAAAACAATCTATAAAGCTCAATGAATAAATTGAAAAAATTGAAGGTTCAGTGAGTGAAATAGAAAATAAAATAAAATTCAGTTTTGAAATGTGTAATTTACCCTATAATTTAAGTAATTGTTTTTTGAACAAGTCTTCTTCAAATAATGAAGAACCTTTTAAATTATAGATATATCGGAATTATCCAAAGTATAAAAAACATAAAATCCCAGAACCCGAGGAAATGTTCTCAAAAATGCAAAAGATGCAATTTGATACCCCATTCAAGGACGAAAAAGGTAATTTCACAATGCTTTATAATTTCCAATTATAAGGGGATAATGTACACAAAAAATGAGAGGTTCAAAAGAAGAAGCATATGCACTTGTAAACAGAAGAAACATACAAAAATTAAGCCGCCATTGGGTCATCCTTCCATCGCTGGTTGAAGAGAAAAATGATAGCCCTCAAAGCCATTCAAGCCTGCTTTAGCACCAGTAGTAAGCATGCCTTTTTCCAAACAACAAGAATTGCATACACAAAAAACTCCACACTGTGTTTCAGCAAGCCGAATGATTCCCAGTCTAATTCCGATCCAGACTGGTCGTCGTCGCCGGAAGGAGACACTCGCAAGCAAGAGCTGCTTGCTCAAATAGCAATGTTGCAGGCTCAGAAAGTTCGCCTCACCGACTACTTGGACGAAAGATCGGCTTATCTAACGCAATTTGCTGAAGAAGCCAACGCTGAGTTTGATAAAGTTGGAGAAGATGCTCTTAAAGGTCTTGAAGAAGCTGGTGAAAGGGTAGGGTCTATACTAAAAGCTCTTTAAGAGAGTCTTGGTTGATATGTAATTATGCTTATAATGCTCTTATTCATTTTTTATTAAAGCAGATAATGGAGAACATTGAAAGCCAAATGCAAGCCTTCGAAGAATCCCAAGAATTGAACAGGCAGGAGATTGAGATGAATGAAGATCAGTTAGCTGAGTTTGAAGGTCAAATAGAGAAAGAAAGGAATGAAGGGTTGTTCTTTAAGAACCTGAAAGATAAAAAGCCTACTATAGACAAGGAAAAAGCAAAGGAGGAAGCTGAGAAGATTAAGGAGATTACTAAAGAAAAAGCTGGGTCAAAATCAAGGAGGAATCTTTACCTTGCTCTAATTGCGCTGCTTGCCCTTGGAATTGCAGACTCTTTCATCTCTGCATCAGATTGGCGAAAAGTAGCGGTTCTTGGAGCTATATTAGTTGCTTTATTTTCCCAGTTCATCTATGAACAGACATTGTTATCAGAAGCAGAAAAAACAGATAAGAAAGATGAAAACAAATAAAGGCTCTTATCGTTATCCATAATTTTTCAGGTTAAATGTAGCATGATCCAATAGACCCAAGTAATAACTTAATACTTGGGCTTGATACATCAAGCGATGTTTCTTTTGCATCATCAACATCTGATCTTAGTGATATAGCTGCCATCACTATTACCGATATGCGTTTCAAAATCTGATGCCTTATGAAGTTTTTCTGACTCGTTGCAGTGGAAAACAACAAATGTGAACGTCCCAAAGGGAAAGAGTAAGCTTTTATCAAAAGAGAGTGTGTGGTTTCATGTCATTTAAACTCTAAACAATGTTAATCCAGCCTACAAGAATTGGCATGTTGTTAAAAGGTAATTGGTTAAAAGTTGACTTTGAACCTTAAGTAATCATGTGACATGCATCCATACCTCTAAACTTCAAAAGAATTTTTCTGGCAAAAACCATCCTTAGCGCACATTCCGTGACTCCAACAAATGACAATTATAGCAGTTCTTGATCCCAGAACATCTAAAGAACTTATATCTCTTTAAGGTGCGCAACTCAAAGAGACTAGTCCCCAGGGTTCTTGTGCTGGTGAAGAGTGCAAACATTTCAACTGCTAACTAGAAGAGCAAGACTCTCACATAGATTAAAGCCAAAAATCCAGAAATGGGAATTTAACTGCAAGTAAATTCTAAATTGAAAGAGCCGTTTTGAAGCCTGTGGTCAGCACTGCCCTGACAAGGATGTTCCATGTAATAACAGTTGGAAGAATTCCACGCTCTAAAGCATCATCCAGAAAGCCAACTGCATCCGATATCTTACCACAAGAACAAAGTGCCTTGAGAGTAATGTTATAAGAAATAATATCTAGCTGTAGTTCATCAGTTGAAATTTGTGCCCAGATCTCTGATGCCTTCTCATATTCTCCAGTTTTGTACAGCCCCTCCATGATAGTATTATAGGTTACGAGATTAGTAGCACAGTTCCTTTGCCTAATCTTTAAATAGAGCTGTAAAGCATCCTCAACTTTGCCAACAGAGCAAAGGCCATGAATGATAATATTGTGCATGGTTGCATCAGGCTTTAAAGCATTTTCAAGCACATGGTTGCATAAGTTAAGCGCCATGTCAACATTCTTCCTTTGGAACATGCCTTTGATCAACAAGCTCTAGGTAATCATGTCAGGTTTCCACCCTTTCTCTAGAATTTCCTTCAAGATAGAGTATGCCTCACCAAATCTTTCAGCTTTACACAAGCCAGAAATGAGAGCATTGTATGAGACAACAGAAGGAGAATAACCCATTGAGCCCACTCCCCCGAAAAATTGAACTTCATCGTCAAGTCTGAAAGCTCGGACAAAAGCCTGAATCAAGGGATTGTAAACATAAGGATTCAGTTTATGACCACCCTGGACAATCCGACAAAGTAAACCAGCTACTTCATCTAGTCTCCCTTGTTTGCCTAACCCATCAATCATTGAGGAATATCCAAAGCAATCCACTTTACCTTCCCCAAATTCAGCCTCTTGCAATATATCCAATGCCCTTTTTAAGTATCCATTCTTACACAACCCATGAATCAAAACTCCATAAGTTGAAGCATCAGCACTGCAACCACTCTGCTGCAAGATCCCCCATAGAGAAATCGCTTCATCTACCTTTCCATTCTCCAACAACCCTCTAATGAATATATTAAAACTAACAACATTAATACAACCCTCTTTTTACATTAATTTCTACAACGCATAACAGTCTTTAAATTCCGAGCTTTACAGTATCCAGTAAGCATTGCATTATAAGTAATCACATCAATCATGACGCCACTTTCAACCATTTCTTTATAAACTCTCTCAGCACCATCAATATTCCCTACCTCACATAATCCATGAATCATACTACTATAAGTAAACAAATCCTCCCTTTCATTCTTCTTCATCCTCTCCCATATACTCAGACACTCATCAAATTTTCCACATTTGCACAACCCATTAATCATAACATTATAGGTAACCGAATTTGGATAAGCTGAAGAATCATCCAACAATCTCTCCCAAATCTCATTTTCCTTCACAAAATCTCTATTTAAACCCGTCAATTAATATATTGTAAGACATAACATCAGGGATCACTTCTCTCTCAAATAATTCGTCGAACAATTCCATAGCAACAACCAAGTTTCCACCTTTGACAAGCTCATTAATCAAAGCCCCATACCTACGTACGTTTGGTCGTAAACCCTTTTGCACATGCAATCCAATAACTGCTTCGCTTCCTTAAAATGTTTCTTTCTACAAGCAATCCTAATCGAAATATTATAGGTTTGCAAATTCGGCTCCATTCCCACTGTTTCAAAGTACATAAAAAAAGACTCAGCTTCTTCCCAGCGATTCGACTCAGCAAAAGCGTTAAGTAAAGTGTTGTAAGATCGAATACCAGGTTCACAGCCGAAACTTTGCATCATTCTCTGGAAGACATCTAATGCTTTATCAGGCATTGAGTTTTTAGCATAAGCTTTTATTACCGTCAAAGCAACGTCTTCTGGGCAGTTACATTTCTGAGTTTCGATGAGTTGAACGATCCTACTCAAGTGGGAAATGAGTCGGGAGTCGACAAGTCGACAAAGGATGTGGTGGAAAACGACGGGCGAGTGTGTGTAACCTGGATGACGAGTTGCTGTGTCGAAGAGAGCCAAAGACGAGTGTGGGTTTCTCTCTAATTTGAGGAGCTTGAGAAGCCGCTTTGGTGAGAGGTTTTTGGGGAAGGTGGTCATGGATGGGATGCTAGAAATTTCTTAGTCGCATCGTCGAATCATCTAACCTCCGCTGCCAATGGCAGAATTTCGGCGACCAGAAATCGGGGGAAAAAAACATAAAATGGGGATATTTTGGGCCAAATTGGCCCATTACGGCAAGTTGAAAAATTATTTAGTTCATTAGGGCACCCAAACATTTAATTTAGTATCTTCAGCAAATTGAACAGTTCTCATAGAATTCGTCACGACGGTATGACGAGTTTAATGGGATATAATTTTTTTAATTGGTCATGTTATATAGGACCCACAGCCTGATTAAAAAAATTTTGAGGGACTCGTCACACCAATTAAAAAATAATTTTTTTTTATTTTGTCATTTTTAAAAGAAAAATAAAAAAAAATAATATTTTAATGACATGGAACTCGTAACATCGGCGTGAAGAGTTTTGACGGTTATAATTTTCAAATATTTGACCGTTGGATTGACCGTTGTTAAACAATCGATTGTTTTAAAAAAATCAGTGGAACTCATCACGTCGGTGTAACGAGTTCCAACGGGAAAAAATCATCTTCAATCTCTTACATTAGACACTCATTTCATCTTCAATCTCCTACGCAAAAAAACTCTTTTCATTTAGCCAAAAACATTTCAAACAATGAGCAACAAATTCTTCACAATTGTCCATTATGATGGCGAAATTCTACAAACTGATGTTGGTGTTGTGTTTAAGTCAGACAGACCGATCAATGTGATGTTCCTTGTAGATGTATCGTATCGCCAAATGAAGCAAAAAATTGAGAGAAAACTTGGAGCTTCTGTTTCATGTTTAAGTTATCGGCACCTGATCTCCTCAAATCCAATAACATATGGAAAAGTTCAGCTTGATGATGATGATGATGTTTCTGTTATGGTTGGACTTCATCAATCATCAGATAATAATATGGTGGAGATGTACGTGGAAACAACGAATGCAACTGAGATTCCAACGTCATCAGTACCAGCTCGAAGAACAGAAGAAGCAGGACCCTCTCAACTACATAGAAGTTATGGTGATGAGAACCTTGTTGGACGGTTCAGTGAAAACATTACTGAATTTAGAGAGGATGGTGAAGACAAATGTTTCCTTGGTAGACGATGACGACACAACATTAGTTGATGAGTCCGATATTGTTGAGGCTGCTTCAGAGGAACAAGGTTTGGATATTGAGGCGGATGTATGGGAGGCAGTTGTTTCACGATGTCAATGATTGCAGAATGCTCCAAATGTTTGGGGTAGGACAGATCCTGAACCTGAATTCAATCATCATGATTTGCCTCGGTATCATCATGCAGTTGCAATATATGACATTAACTACGATGCTATGCGGAATCCTGAAATATTTGATATGCCAGAGTTATGTGTTGCCCACTGGGGTTCTTCAGATGAGTGGTCATCTGAGTTGGCTATTGGGTCTTAGTTTGAAACAAAAAAAAGAGGCACAACTAGCAATCAAGGAGTATTGTATCAAAGCTCATCTTCAATTCTATGTCGCGGAGTCGGATCAAAAAACTTATTTTGTAAGGTGTATACACCATGATGTTGGTTTTAAATGGAGGATACGAGTATCATACCTACAACAGAAGATGTTGTGGGAAGTCACAAGGTTCAATGCAGAGCATACATGTACAATAACATCCTTGACACAAGACCACATACATTTAGATTCGGATGTCATATGCTCTTATGTGAAGCTGTTGGTGGAAAAAACTCCAAGAGTGCCTGTTTATGTTTTAGTGGCATCCATTCGGAATACATTTGGTTATATTCCGACTTATTACAAGGCATGGATGGCTAAACGGAAAGCAATGACCTTATTGTATGGTGATTGGGATCAGTCATATAATGAGCTACCACGTCTGCTGCAAGCAATGAAATTTTCATCCCTGGAACCATTATTAGGTAATATACTCATCCTGTAGTCACGCTTGAGGGAGACGTTATCCCAAGGAAGAGAATTTTTGGTGGCATGTTCTGGGCGTTTAAGCCAGCTATCAAAGGGTTTAGATTTTGCAAACAAATGATTCAAGTCGATGACATTTTTTCTGTATATACTCTACAGACACATCTTGATGATAGTCGTTGCACAAGATGGAGACAGAAATATTTTCCCCATTGTTTTCGCCATTGTTAAAAATGAATCAGAGTAAACTTGGAATTTTTTTCTCTCCAACTTGTGTTCCCATGTTGTCACTCAAGAAGGGGTTTGCATGATCTCAGATCGGGCGCCTAGGTTGTTAAGCACAATTGGTAGACCCAAAAATAGATGAACGTCACCTCACGCATATCATGCATATTATATACGTCATATCGCGTCAAATGCAATGAAGAGGTTTAAGAAGAAAAATATAAAAAATAAGATTATCAACATGGGTAAGTGCCTTAGCATTTGTCATTAATTATTTCTGCTTCATTAATATTTTGTTTAATAACATTTAAGTTACTATTTTTTAGGGTATGCTTTACTCCAACCAAACTTCCGTGCACGGCTTGAAAATTTGAGAATATATGGAGATGATATGTATGAGTTTGCAGCTGAAATACAAAGGGAAAGATGGTCACAAGTATATGATGTTGAGGGTCGACGTTACGACCATATGTCTACTAACCTTGTTGAATGTATCAACTCAGTGCTGAAAGGGGCTTGACATCTCCGGATAGCAAGTATTGTTAGGGAGACTTACTTTAGGTTAGGTAAAGTATTGGCAGACAAAAGTGCACAAATTGATGCCATGATCAGCGATGGGAGAAATTGGGCTACAGATTTAGAGAAGGCAATGCAAAATAAGCAAACACATGCGACATCAATGTTTGGCCACAATTTTAATAGACTTGATTCTGATTTCGTTGTCCAAGCTCTAGTTTGACCACATGAAGAAGGTAATTCTACAACATACACTGCTAATCTGAATAGAAGATGGTGTGATTGTGGTTGATTTCAAGCTTTTAGGTTCCCATACGCTCACGATATTGCTACATGTATGCACATCAATGTTGAACCATACTTATATGTTGATGATTGTTGTAGCTTGCACACTATGCACAACATTTACAGTTGTGACTTCAAGTACCTCCTAAATGAAGCATACTGGCCTACATGCACAATTTCTGATGAATGCTTGCCAAATCCTCGATTGTGTAGGAAGTTACGGGATTGACTTGAATCTAACTAAATTCATATCGATATGGATGATCCTCAAAGAGAGCCAGGTCAACCAAAACTTTGTGGCCACTGCAGAAGTGAAGGTCATAACAGAAAACATTTTCTACATCTTCCAAATATCGTGTTGGACGCTAAAGTAAGCGTTACAAAATGTTGAACTATATTTTGATATAACAACTAAGGCATAATATTTTTGGACTTGAATTAAATTTGTTCAAGGTTTTCAAAGTTTTCAAAAATAATTCAAAGTTCATTTTACTTGTAATTGAGCACAAAATACGTTTTTTGTACACGTAGTACCGATACTGTTTTGACAATATCGATACCTCACACACAGTACCGATATTGTTCATATGGTATCGATACCAAAGGTAACGGAAGTCTCGATACTCATAATTTAGTACCGATACTAACAATATTGCTCAAATTCCAGAATGTAAAATTGGTATCGATACCCAAAGGGCTACCGATACCAAAGGTAATGGAAGTATCGATACTCACAAGGTAGTATTGATACTAACAACGGTTAATCCAACGGTCAAATATTTAAAAATTATACCCGTCAAAACTCGTCACGCCAGCGTGACGAGTTCCATGTTAATAAAATATTGTTTTTTTACTTTACTTTTAAAAAATTACACAATAAAAAGAATATTTTTTATTGGAATTTTTTTATTCCTGCTGTGGGGCACACCTGACACAACCCATTAAAAAATTATATCCCATTGAACTCGTCACGCCGGCTAAATTAAATTTGCCGTAGATCCCAAATTAAATTTTTGGGTTCCCTAGTAGGCTAAAGTTTTTGCACGAGTGTCGTAATTGGCCAATTTGGGCTAGCACGAAGCCACTAGCCGATTTTTTGCCCCAATAGGGACGACCCAAAAAAAGCAAAATATGGCACAAACATTTTTATTTTTTAGATTTACCGTATTTTTTATGGTACATGGAACCATCACGTTGAAATGATAAATTTTAATAAAAAAATATTTTTTATTTAAACTTTTTATTTTGATGTGATGAATTTTAATAAAAATTATATTTTATTAAAACTCATCACTTCGAGATAATAGGTTTGAATAAAAAATATTTTATATTGAAACGTGTCACCTCGACGTAACGAGTTTCAGCTCTACTATAACATTTATCGTATTCTTCAAAATAAAAACTCGAATACTCTAATGGGATAAATAAAAAAAACTCAAATGCCCCAATGGGCCAAAAAAAACCGCCACTAGCCAATATCAAAATATGAGAAAATTTGGGCCACCGTCAAAATATGTTTTCTATTAAATTTAAAGTGTAAATCTCATTTTTAACATAATATGTATCCTTATGTTTTAATAGAAATGAAAATCATACAAACTAAGCATATTTATTCTTACCTTAGTTATAAAAAAATTACTTGATTAATCTAATAATAATTTTGATTTGATTAGGAAAGTTAAAATCGTAAATGAACGAAACTTGAAAGAAAAAATATTTATTTATGTTTAATTTTTATTATTTTAAATTTATTTATACTTGATTTATGTTATCGTTTATTAAAAATTGTATACTACATCTTTCTTAAACTATCTTAATCCCATCGACAAGGATAAAATTTCGATGTAATTAGAAAAACTTGTTCAAAAATATGTAAACTCACTGTGGACACACTTTACAAGTTATTTTCATGGTTTTTAGAACCGGACCTGTTAGCGAATCGGCCATGCTATCGGTTCACTGGTTCAACCGGTCGAACTTCACTGGTTCAACCGGTCGAACTTTACTGGTTCAACCGGTCGAATCGGTTCGACCGGTCGGAAGAACCGAACGACGTCATAATTATTTAAAAAATTAAATAAAAATACCAAAAATATTTAATAAAAAATAATTTTTTATATCACAATTTATATTCAAAGCAAGTCATAACATATATAAGTTAAAAACCATAAAATCAAGTGAAACAAAATGATTCAAATTAACTACAACATAATATTTAAGGTAAAACATATTAAATATTAAATATAATTATATAACTATAATTAAAAAAATAAATTTGGGGCTAAAAAAATCATAACAAAATGATATTGTTTGGTTTAATTTTTTTTTTAAAAACAATCTCATATGGCTAAGAAACATAGAAGATCATCCCAACTAACTTCTATAAATAATAGAGGTAATTTGACATTCAAAATCATGGAGCCTTTTGGTGAGCATTGAGTGAACTATTCTTTCACTTTAATCAAGCTCGAATTTTAGGATTCAATCGAGCTTTTAAATTTTTTTTGAGTTCAAGCCTTTTCGAGTTCAAGTTTCAATATTATATTTCGAGTTCGAGTTGAACTTGATAATTTTTAGCTCGTGAATTTGAGTCGAGTTGAGCTTACTTTTAAATTTTTCAAGTTCGAGTCGAGCTCAACAATACTCGAGTTCGACTTGGCTCGTTTAACAAACAACGTCGTTTGGTTTAATTTTTTTAAAAATAAAATAAAATTGGCAGTTTTTTCTGGTTTTTCCCTGTTTTTTCCTGGTTTTCAATCGGTCTGATTTGAACGGTTCAGCGGTTCCGGCTGGTTCACTAGTAGCGGTTCAACCGGTCTAGATTGAATCGAATTAAGCAACGATTCCCGGTTGAACCAACCGGTCCGATCCGATTTTCAAAACACGTGTTATTTTGGTTATTTTTCCTTATTGTCTAGTGTCCAAACATCTTCAAAATCCTTAATTTTGAATCCAATACACATCTAACTCATATTTTGACCATTTACCATTATCGTACTACAATATTCGTTGAAAATTATCCGCAATTAGGCCTTTTTTTATTTAGACTCAATCATCTTGCTGCAGTTGTTATTGTTCGAACCTGACCTCAAGCAACAACAAAATCATATTAAAACTTAAATTTATAACATAATTATATTAAACAAAACCTATTTTGTTTTAAGTGTGACCTTGTTTGTCAAACATTTGGTTTTGAGCTTTTCACTTTTATTTCTTTCTTTTATCCTCTGGTAAGGAACATGCGGGTATGTTTTTTTTACTTTACTGGCAAAAGGAGAGAGCTAATGATGGAGCTTTTTCATGCCGAGAGAAAAAGGAGGACAGAGCATGATCCCTAACTCTGATAATGTTTGAAGAAAACGTTGTTAATGGGGGAAATCATCATTGCTTTTGCCAATGCGTATTGATGCATGGGGCCTTTGAACATTCATCGCTTAGAGTTTTAAGCTCGAGTAACACTTTCAAAAGCTAAGGTTTTTCACAATGAAAATAGCTTAAAGACGTTAAATTTATTTTTAAAAAAAAGTAGAAATTTGCGGTAGGATAATCCCAAGCTAACATGAGACCAAAGATGAATAATGTCCTGTGTATAACATATTCCATAAAACCCAAAAGAAACACCATCTCAAATTCAGTACAACCTTGAAATAGCATGTGCATGGTTTACCTTGCTTTTTCCCGACCCGCATCTCCGGCTGCCCCCTCTGCCACTCATCGGTGTCCAGTCCAAACTTAACCGTCCATTTGACTCGACACTGTTCTTTCTTGCACCACCGAAATCTCTCGAACTCCGCCAACTTACGCAGCTATTGCTCCTTGCAAGCTTTGGATTAAAACCTCCTCTCAACTCGGACCAAGATTCGGAATACGAATACGATCTCTCGACAGCACTAGCTCTACTATACTTATCTTCTTCATCCTCATGATCTTTGTTACCACTCCTGTGAATAAACCCGAAAATGTTCCAAGCTTTACTCCATTTCCTAGATTTCTTAGACGACCCTTTGCGTTCCCCGTTGCCGATCATAGACGCATTGTCTGTAAAGCTCATCCCTAAACTCTCAGAGTTGGAATTCGAGTTCCAGTCCCTGCAATCATTAAGAGCAGGGGAAACCTTTGCAGTGGAAATGGATTTCACGTCGTCCATCTCAGCTACTACAGCTGCTGCAGTTTGCCTTATAGAACGGGACCTGTCGAGACTCTTTCTTCTCCTGGAATCAGAATAATAATCCCTTGTTTGAGCTGACCCTCCGGGGAGAGATTCACCATTAATGGTATCCATTGCTAAAGGATCCTCGACAGGGATTTGTGTATCAGACCTTATAACGCGATGAACTGGAGCATCTTCCATAAGAGAAACCATTGCTGGGATCCTTGGGAATGTTGTTCTTCCAATCAAATACCCATCCCATGAAGTTCTTGGTTCATCGACTGAATACCTTGGATCATCAAATGAAAGCCTCGGATCTATATCACAAGATCTTCTCCCTAAAGAGTTTCCCATTGGCAATCTAACCGACCCACCTCCGTTTTTCATCTTTTTGAGCTTCTGTTTTTGCCTCCATTGTTGCAGTTTCTTGTTGAAAACTGAAGCGGCCGACCAGATGCTTCCGGTACTCTTCTTCTTTGTTTGCGAATCGTGATCTATATGATCCTTCATGGACTTCACCTCGATTTCTTCAACTTTCTCTTCGATTATACTCCCTGTATCGACACCCAAATCGGGTCTTCGTTCTTCTATGAACTCTATATCGTTCTCATGATTGGTTTCCCTCTCGGTTTGATCTTCTTCGTTGGTTTCAAAAACAGGGCCTTGAACAACACTTGAAGATGAACCCAAATTTCCTGCTGCTGTTTTTTTATGTGGATTTCTCTCGTAATCTTGAGAAAAGAGTGACCAAGATTTCCTCTGAGGCTCAAAACATCCAGGAAGACCGTCACTTTTTGATGCCGAAAAGGACTTTGTTCTCCGGAGCTCGGAGGAAGCGCTTCCTCCAGAAGGTTTGAAAATGGATTTAAGGGCAGCGGTGGTGGTGGAAGTAGCGGCAACAAGGGGAGGTTTCCGAGAAGAAGAAGAAGAAGAAGGGTCGAGAAGAGTGAGACGTTCGTAAAGGCATGAGGTACAGAAGACGGTGAAACGCTCTTGAGGATGGCGGGCGCAGGGAGTGGAAGCAGGAGGAGGCAGCGGCAGAGGTAGTGGTGGATCCAAGTTGGGATTCATAAGCAGTGGTGTGAAATGACCAACTCCATATTCTTAGCTTCAATTCAAAGGGAAACATTTTCTTTTTAGGATCCAATCCAAGAAGACGTGAGCATCATGAAAGAGAAACATAATGATAGATTCATATCTGGAAAAGGAGAGAAAATCTCGGCTTACAATTAAGACTGCCCCACCATACACCCATACCCTACTCATTTTCCAATTAGCAATGCACCATTGCACTTCTCCTCGATCTTTCATTTTTTTTCTTTTTGCATTTTTTACCCAATTTTCTTATGCTCTTACCTTTATCATTAAGGTTTAAATTTTTTTAAATGTTAAATTACATCATTCCTCACTCAACTATACTATCTTCTATTTTCTTCATTCAACTTTTAATTTTTTTTATTTTGCTCACTGAACTTTATAAATTGAATCATTTTGCTCACTCTGCCATTAACTATTTAACAACGTTATGACGTGGCTCAAGCATCAAAACGATGTCGTTATGAAAAAAATAAAATATACGCCAAAATGAGGTCATTTCGAATCCTATATTAAAAGTTTGGTGAGTAAAATAAGAGAAGGAATAAAATACAATGAAGAATTATTTAATTTATCATTTTTCTTTTCCTTCTTCATTTTCTCTCCGCCGGCTACCATGTGTCATTTTTATTCCAATCATTGTCCACCGTCTTTCATGGGTTAGTTTATCTCGACCCCTGGTCTGAATCTGGTGGTTGATTCACCGGAAAATATCCCAAAACCCGTGTATCTCGATTGAAATTTTTTGGTTTCCTCACTTTCAATATCAAATTCACGATGTTGAGGCGAAGCGATCTATGAAATTTGAAACCAAACGAGCACCATCTACAATGGTCGATGGTGGCCACGGTGGCATTTGACCAACTTCTTTTTTATTTAATATTTGTAATTAGTTTATATTAAAAATAATTTTAAAAAATGCCACATCATCTTATCGTTAGAGAGAAAACGGGGAGTGAACAAATTGATTCAATTTGTAAGTTCAGTGAGCAAAATAGAAAATTAAAAGTTAGGTGAGGTAAATAGGAGAAAGAGTATAGTTAAGTGAGAAACGATGTAATTTACCATTTTTTAAATTACTCTTGTTTTAAACACCAACTAACAAATTATAAAAGGTATAATAACATAATTTATTTTATTAATATTTTTTTTATAATATATCTTATTTTATTAATATTTATATCACATAAAATTAAGAGTTAAAAAATTTATTAATCAAGTTACCTCAGTAATTAAATTTTTTTTAAACAAATATTGTAGTGATCTTAAATTATTTAAAGAAAAATCTTTGCTCTCACCCCAACCTCACAACCACTCACCCTTTCACAAAACGAAAATCCGACACACATCATCAAACTGAGCCTGATCAACCCTTACTTACTCTAACCTAAATGTCATTTGCTTCATCGCCTACATTCTCGGCTAATATCTTATATTGACCTCAAAATTGATAATTTGTTGTTACATCTATGGGTGTGCACATTCGGATATCGGATCCGATCCGAAATTTCGGATATTCAAAATTTTTGGATACCTAAAATAGTGATCCGAATCTGATTCGAAAAAATCGGATATCCGAATTTTGGTGTATCCGAATATGTCCTTCCCTTTCTTTAGATTTTTTCTTCTCTGGTGAATCTCTGTAGTGTATTCTCAAAGTCACACCTTAGGGATTAGGGAACCTTCAACGGACGTTGGTTGTTGCCGGTGAACCACAGGCGTTGAAGATGGGTTGTCACTTCACCCACTTGTTACCCCTCAAGATCCAACATCCAACCTTTAACGGTGTTAGAGATGGATCACCGTTTTAGTTTAAAATGTCGTTGTGATCGTTCGTCCGCGGGCGTTGATTGTTGCCGATGAACCGCTGATGTGGAAGAGCTGTTGCCAGTGACCCACCATCACCATGTACCAGAGGTCGATGGGATTTTAATCTCTTTATTTTCGATTATGTTTGTATGTTGCAGAACTTAAATCCTAATGCCATGTAATTACAAATGTTAACCCAATTAAGAGTGCCTTTATTTACTTTAATTTTCTTTCGATAATGAATTTTGTTTAGTGGACACTGTATATTTCCCACTTTGCATATAGAATCTAGAAAGAGAAACCCACAATCAAACAAGTTAATTGCAGAAGCTCTAAAAAAGTATTATGGCGGGGAAAGTTACAAAGAACCGAAATTTGAAAGATAACCTTCCTAAGCTTAATTTGAAAGACAGATTAGCTGGGCTTAATTTGAAAGACAGATTAGCTGGGCTTAATTTGAAAGACAGATTAGCTGGGCTTAATTTGAAAGACAGGGTTGCTGGGCTTAGGGGCTAAGGACCCATTTATTTTTCGAATATTCGAATAATCCGAAATCGATATTTTTTTGATCCGTATCCGATCCGATTATCGAGTATTTACTTTTAGATATTCGATCTAAACTATCTGAAAATAAAAAAACAGATTAAATATCCAAACTTTTTAATCGGATCGGATTTTTTTACACGCTCCTAATCATATCCACAATCTCAATCAAAAGTCAGAATCCAAATTTACTTACACTGCCTCTGCCTACATCACCCCCGTCTATCTCAAATAACCCTTAAATTGCGATCTCCCCTATCCATCTTTGCTGATATCATTAAACCCTAAACCAACCTAAACAACACCCTTTCCAATCATCTATCCCATCTCTTCCATCTGCTTATGTTACCCTTAAACCAAAATTACCCCTACCCCTGTTATTGTCTCGTTAAACCCTAAAAATATTAAACTACATCCTTACCCATTAGTGGTAGATTTAAAAAATTTAGTACTCATTTCTTCAACAAAATAAGTATGATTGTTTTATTTTTTTTTACTTCTCTTAATCTATTAAAGTATTTTTAGTAATTTATCTTAAATAATGGATATACACTCGTATAAAGAACTGCGAGCATCCGCCCTTGGTGCCCACTACTAGACCTATTTCCATCATCTACCTTCACTAACGCTTAAATTGAAACCATTCATATTACTCTTACTAGTTTCGTTGGATCTTGAACTAACCTAAAATATATTCTCTCATTATTTGATCTATAAAATTAAATTAAATCAACAACAAAATCACACTAGAGAGCATGCAAAAGAAAAAGAAGGAAATATAAAGTGATATAGGAAGAGCATCATTTTGTTTTCTAGTTATTGAATGAACCCAAATTTAAATGCTGTCTTTGTATTTATTGTGTTTGGTATTTATGAAATTTATTTATTGAAACATTTTTAGTAAGTCTAAAGTTATCAAATGGACGAATGGTGGGTAATATATACGGTACATCTTAGATGTAGCGGATAACAAACATTCGATAATTCCACGTGGTGAATGATGACCCCATTTGTAAATTGCCCACAAATATCAAAAGCCAGGCTCCAAACGCGGGCAGCGGTTGAGAAAACAACCGAAATCTCTCAACACGCCTTCTCTTTATTCGATTTTTTTTCTCAGAAGGTTAAATCTTCAATACGTTTTTAGGTTTTTCTTCTTCAATCTTCAATTTTGTTGTTCGTTTGATTAGTTTCCCGCATTTGGTAACGTTTTGCTTTGGAGCTTGTAATTTCTTCTTCTTCTTCTTCATCACGAATCTGAATTCTCTTTCTTACGAACTGTGCAAATCCATGGAGTTTTTAACAATATATATCCAAAATGTAGTTGATTTTACACTATTTCTTTCCGCCTTTTGTTTGATTCGTTTACCTTTTGATCCAACTCAGTTTTAATTTCTGGTTTGGAATGTTGGTTAACTGTAGGGATGACAGTGCGGAATGAGATATTTGTTGATATCCGACTTTTGTGTGCGCCTAGGATTCGGATTAATGTTTGAATCTAAATATTCTAACTGCTATCTGCAATGGATTAGTAGCAAAGGCGGATATTGACACTCAGATATGCATTATCCGAATTCTCTTTACTTACTGATTGGAATATTAAAATTCATTATCCTCTTTTCTTTTTTAAGATACTCTTAGACTCATTAAATGATTTGAATATCATGGAGTTGATTTAATTAATTTTGATTGGATAGTCATATGCAGATTTATTGCGGACAATTTAAGGATTTGAATTTTATAATATATTTGTGGAATTGGATTTTACAGAACTTACAGATACTTGAGTTGGAAATTTGGGAGTATTAACTATTTATGGTTGAATTGTTTAAATATCTGATTTCGGACCAATCTATGGTATTGTTAGATACGACTTTAAGTTCCTAGAAATTTGTTTCTTGATACTGATGCTGTTGCTTGTTGTTTCAGACTGTGAAAGATGGCTGATGGTGAGGATATTCAGCCCCTTGTCTGTGATAATGGAACAGGAATGGTTAAGGTACTTGGCTTGATTCCTTAACATTAATTTTAATGCTGTTCCAATTATAAATTTGAAAATTTAGCTTGACATTGTTTTGAGAATGGTTTCATTAATTTAAATGTTGTTCCAATGACAAGTTTTGGAGAATTGTTTCTCAGGCTGGATTTGCTGGGGACGATGCTCCGAGGGCAGTGTTTCCTAGCATCGTCGGTCGTCCACGCCATACTGGAGTGATGGTCGGTATGGGGCAGAAAGATGCCTATGTTGGCGACGAGGCTCAATCTAAGCGTGGTATTTTAACTCTGAAGTATCCAATTGAGCATGGCATTGTCAATAATTGGGATGACATGGAGAAAATTTCGCATCATACGTTTTACAACGAACTTCGTGTTGCTCCAGTGGAGCATCCGATTCTCCTCACTGAAGCCCCTCTTAACCCAAAGGCTAACCGTGAGAAGATGACCCAAATCATGTTTGAAACCTTCAATGCTCCTGCTATGTATGTTGCTATTCAGGCTGTTCTGTCCCTGTATGCTAGTGGTCGAACAACTGGTAAGCCATTTGTTTCCTCTAAACTATCATCTGTTTCAATTCGTCTCGCAATGTTTTGTGTCATTACTCATTAACTTGTTTTGGTATCTCATTGAAGGAAGATCACATGCCTTATCCAACTAACAATAATTTCATTGTTGGAAGGTCTCTCAGCAGGAAGGTCTATTACTGTACCTTGTTAGACAGCTAAAATTTCGGAGAAATGAACTTTCAAGAATGGAACATGATTTATAAGAAGATTTTGTGTTTAGCATAGGAGAAAATGTATTTGTTTCTTGCATCATATTACAAATCGAATTATAGTTATGCTTGACTTGCTGTACTTAATATGGTAATGCAAAGTTATCTGATGTGAGATATTTGTCGTGTGTTTGGTGCAGATATTGTGCTTGATTCTGGAGATGGTGTTAGCCACACTGTCCCTATTTACGAGGGATATGCTCTTCCACATGCAATCTTGCGTCTCGATCTTGCCGGTCGTGACCTCACTGATGCTCTGATGAAGATTTTAACCGAGCGTGGTTACTCATTCACCACTACAGCTGAACGGGAAATCGTGAGGGACGTCAAGGAAAAGTTGGCTTACATTGCCCTTGACTTTGAACAAGAACTAGAAACCGCCAAGACCAGTTCTTCCGTTGAGAAAAGCTATGAGTTGCCTGATGGTCAGGTGATAACCATCGGTTCCGAGCGATTCCGATGCCCAGAAGTCCTTTTCCAGCCATCTATGATTGGTATGGAAGCTGCTGGTATCCATGAAACAACTTTCAACTCCATAATGAAGTGATGTGGATATCAGAAAGGATTTATATGGAAACATCGTGCTCAGTGGTGGCACCACCATGTTCCCTGGTATTGCCGATAGAATGAGCAAAGAGATTACAGCACTGGCTCCTAACAGCATGAAGATTAAGGTGGTTGCACCACCTGAGAGGAAGTACAGTGTGTGGATCGGTGGTTCCATATTAGCATCCCTCAGCACTTTTCAACAGGTAAGTTTACATTCCTGGCAAAATTTTACGAGCAATTTTCTAACACGGTACTGAACTATTGGTGTAATTGCAGATGTGGATCGCTAAAGCTGAATATGATGAATCTGGCCCTTCAATTGTGCATAGGAAGTGTTTCTGAGCACGGGGAGGAAACGATGGGCTGAGCCTCAAAAACTGCCCTGTCTGAGCAAGTAATTTTTTTTTTTTTTGCGATTTCATAGTTTTGTTTCATCATCTTTTTTTTCTTTCTCTGGTTCCCTCATCTTGTCGTTTGGACAATGATCTTGAAAGAATTGATGAGTGTTGGAAACTTTGGGTATTTTTATTTTCACTTATATTTCTTATTTCTTTGGTAGTGAGAGATGATTGCCTAAGAAACTTGTTCGTTATCTTTTCTATTTTTCATCTCTACTGTATTCCCGAGCCACCACCAATTTTACGAGTGAATAATCAAATGCTCCGATTCATTACTCAGATTGTAATATGCTTACAACTGTAAAGGAACAAAACACGTGTAAAATCATAGATACTAAAATGTATCAAGATGATTGAAATTAAATAAATTGGAATATACTTGTCGGAATGTTTTTAAGAATTATATTATTTTTTTTAAAGATTGATATCCAATTCAATTAATTTAAATTAAATATTGATAAATATTCAATTTTATAAAATCAACTGACTATTATTAAACTTTTAATTTTATATTTAAATAAATTAATAAATAATGTAAATGATTTATTTTTAAATTAAATAAAATTTAATATCAAAATTATATTATATTAATAAATTAATCAAGCAATATATGTGATGAATTAATACACTATATAAATATAATGCCGTAAATAATTGAAAAGATATTCGTAAAATATAATATAAAAATGCAAAAAAATAAAACGTACAATAAAATATAAATATAAACTTTTTAAAATATTAATTTATTATAGTAAAATATGCAAAACTTGGGGTTAATTGAGTAATAGCACAAACCTTGAGAGAAGACATAAATATAAAATTTGAGGCCAATAAAGTAATAGCACCAACCTTTGAGAGGTTACATAATGTAAGGACCACGCCAAAATGACCCTCTAACAAGAGTTAATGGCAAATATTGTATGTCTAAAATGGCAAATATTTGAAGAAAAGGTATATAGGGGCATCGGTAGATATAGAAATTTAAGATGGGTCCTAAATAATGGGATGCACTTAGTTCTTAGGGAGCTTAGTAACAATTTTTAAAGAACTTTTAGTTTGTTTGAGCATAAATAGCTAATTGACAATCAAACTCTCCATTTTTAATGTTTGGTAAACATATTTTTTAAATAGTTGATTGTGTAAAATAAGCTGAAAATAAAAACGTTGGAAAAACCAGCGGTTTGAGAGAGCTGATTGCAAAATAAGATGTTAAATGACATATTTGACCTTATTATTTCTATGATTACATCTTTGCCATAAAACCTAATCTAATGAAATACCCTCCATCCTAAACCACTTGATCTAATGATGAATTAGTGAAATTTTATTTTATTATTTTATTTTTTAGTTGTATATTCTCAAATATATTTTAGTTAAGAAAATATAGTAAAAAATGTAGTGTTGATATTTTATACAAGGTTAATAGTATGTATTAATCCCACAAGGTTAATATTAGTAAATATAAAATTTAAAAAATATATTTAAATTTTTTTTTAAAATATTCACTAATTTTCTTAAGGAATTTTTAATTCCTTGTCAAAAACATTTTATCCGAATAATTTCACCCTAATAAAGACTAAAGTATTATAAAATGTATATGCACTTAACAACTAAATGTATCATACCTTACATATATCATCTATCAGCTAAATTTTACCAAACACTTCTATATAAACAGTTAATCAAATCAATTTCTCAAATCAACTTCTCAAATCAACTAATCAAACCAGTTAGTCAAACCAACTATTGGAATCAGTTAACGGTTGTTTACCAAACACCCCTTATTTGAAGTTAATGATTTAATTTGAAATTTATGATGTTTTTGGTATATTAGTTATTTGAATTTACATATTGTTTATATAAGTTATTTTAGTAATTTTGTTAACTTTTTTAATATAAATATATTTTAATATTTGAATTTAGTTTCAATGTTCAGTCTAATATTTGAATTTAGTTTTTGTATTTTTTATTAATAATCTGTTTTATTTTCAAAAGTTTATTAAGTCTATATTTTAAATATTTTATTGTAATTTTTTATTAATAATTTGTTTTACTTTTTAGAATTTTAGAATTTACTCTTTATAATCTGTTTTCATTTTTCAGAATTTTACATTTTACTCTTTAAGAATTTTAAAAGTTTCTCTAACATAGCTCCATTTCTCATTCCAAATTTTAACTCAATTTCACTATAAAATAACAACATCCTTGAAAGTGGTTATTAGGGCTGTAAATAAGACGAGACAGATCGTGAGCTATTCGAGATCGACTCGGTCAAGGCTCGATAAATACTCGGATTGAATGGACTCGACTCAAACTCGAGCTCGACTCAAATTTTTAAAGAGCCGAAACAAGCTACTTGATACTCGACTCGAAAAGCTCGTGAGCAACTCGAAAATATAATATATTAAGATTTCATTTTTTTAAAAATAAATTATTAATAATATTAACATTTATGTGTTGATTTTTTTTAAATACAATAAGAGTTTCATGTATTTAAGGTTCAGGTTCGAGTTTGAGGATTCAATCTTGTTAAGTTTAAGATTTTTTTATTTCGAGTCTTTTCGAGCTGCTCACGAGCTTCAGTTTAGGATTTCAAGTTCGAGTTGAATTTAAAATTTTTAAGCTCGCGAATTTTCGAGTCGAGTCGAGCTCCATTTCAAAGTTTTCGAGTCGAGCTCAGCAATATTCGAGCTCGACTCGTCTCGTTTACACCCCTAGTGGTTATGTGTGAGGCATACTCAATATTTTATAAGATAAAGTATACAAATGATCTCTCGATTATAAGATATTATTTTATTAAGCCATTCGACTATTAAAAGTTATAAAATGGTTCATAACAATATAATGTTACTTTGTTGAGTCTATTGACTATTAAAAGAGTCAAAATAGTCACCCAACTATTCATTATATTCTAAACACGTCTTTTTTCCATAAAATTTTGATAACATGCTGAGTTGAATGTTAATTTGCTGCCTGTGATATAATAAAATCTGATCCCAAAATCTCAAACGGCTATCATTTTTCAGTCACCATATTAACCGTTCAACTCAAAATACTATCAATTTTTAACGGAAAAGAACAAGTTTGGAACATAATGAATAGTAGGGTGATCATTTTGTAACTTTTAATAGTCGAGAGAACCCAAAAAGCAACACTCTATAATCAGAGGATCATTTTATAACTTTTAATAGTTGAGGGATTCAATAAAGTAATAACTTATAGTCGATTAACTTAATAAAGTAATACCCTATCATCAAAGGACCATTTGTATACTTTACCCTATTTTATATATGAATGAACTTATAAAGTTTTAGTGACAATATGTAAAATATTAAGCTTAGCAGTAGAATATATAAAGAAAATACTTAATTGTAAAATTTTCTAATTTGCATCCCTAAAAATCTCTCTGGATCTATCTCGGATTACGTGGATCGACACTCTTCCTGTACTGGGTTTAAGCCCTAGCCCTCTCCGGTAATAAAAAATCTATAAAATAAAAATATCAAATTATGTTTTGGTTCCTCTAACATGCTTAAATTAGATTTAATATTATTCTTTTATTGGACATTTATTTTATAATATCATCAGTTAGTGCATATATCGAAAATGTTATAATGGATTTCTGTTAAAAAAATATTATTTTCAACCTTTTTTTAAAAATCCATTTTAGCATCATGTAGTATTTTAATCGGAATATGTATAACGTGTAATCATTTGGATTAACATTACCAATTTATTTTACCAGACCAAATTTGAGCATAACAGAGAAAGCAAAACAATAATCTGACCTTCAGTCCGTTTCAGGTTTATTTTTGCTTAAAATATTTCCTATCTATTTTTTTAAACAATAATCTGACTTTTTGTTTCCTTTTTTTTTTCGTTTTATGGAGTATAGGGTGGAGGTTGGTGTAATTCAATAAAAACGTGTAATGCTCGAAAAGGAACAGCTTTAGGTTCTTCAAAGTACATGGACCAAGTTCGATTTGATGGGATTTTAAGCCGTCACCCTTCTCAAAATCCTGGTTTTTATTTGTTGCATTGTTCATTTCATTTATTTTTCTAAATTCATAATGTTCAAAGAATGTGCTTTCAAGATGAGTATACTTATTTTCTCTCGCTTTCTTTTTTAGATTTTTATAATTGGAACAGAGTTCAGATACGTTATTGTGATGGTGCATCCTTTGCTGGCAACCCTGAAAGTGAGTTCAAGGTAAACCTTGTTAGTTATTTATGAATTATGAAATGATATACGGTTTACATTTCCGATATTCTTGGTCATTGTTGTCGTCGTCGTCGTCACTTTTGTGTTGTTATTTTTAATAGAATGGAACAGAACTTTTCTTCAGAGGCCAACTGATTTGGGAAGCAATTATGAATGAACTCTTATCACTTGGCTTGTCTGAGGAGAAACAGGTATTAGAGATTCATATTTAATGGTGATTTGCTACTTTGTTTTCAATTGGTTTGTCGCAATGGTGATGGATTTGATGACTTTGCAGGCACTGCTTTCAGGCTGTTCCACTGGCGGGTTGGCAACTTTTATACATTGCGATAATTTTCGAGATCATCTGCCACAGGTTGCTACCGTGAAGTGTGTTGCAGATGCAGGATTTTTCCTTAACGAGTAGGTTTCTTTCAGTTCTAACAATTCTTCCTATGCTTCTATGTATCCCATATGTGAACGTATCTATCAGTCTATGTATGCAAGCATGCATTACAACAGAATTAAAGCCATCTAGATTTAAGTAGTGCTTCATTTATCCCTTTGATATTTCATGCATCATAATGTCTAAAATTCATCTACTTCTATTTGCTCCATTGCAATGCAGGCCAGATGTTCTTGGAATTCGAACCATACTTGCTTTCTACCATGATGTTGTCACACTTCAGGTGGTTCTTCAATGTCCATATATCATAGTTATTTAGCGAAAGTTGCTAATTTCTCGTCTGCCTGTAATTTCAGGGCGTAGCGAAAAATTTAGGCAAGAACTGTGTCGGAATAATGGAACCGTTTAAGGCAGGTTTTGTTCTTTTTATTTTTTCATCTTTGATGTTCAAGTTCAACAAATTTTACACGTACCTGCCATGATCTGTTGTGAACTACCATTGCAGTGTGTCTTTCCTCGAGAAATTATAAAAAATGTTAGGACCCCATTTTTCATTGTCAACCCAGCTTATGATTCTTGGCAGGTAACTTGTTCAAACTGATCGATTTGCGAAGTTTTTAGTGCTATTTGCATTTCCATTTGCATGTTCTAACACTGACTTAACCTTTTAGATACAAAATATTTTAGTCCCTGTTGCATCAGATCCTCAGGGCTACTGGAGCAGTTGCAGACTGAGCATTCAGAAGTGTGATTCTACACAGATCAAAAGACTACAAGGTGGTTGGATATGTAATATGATCAAATCTAGTATGCTCAAATTTGGGATCTAGTCCCTGTACTTTAATTTGGCATAATTTGGTCCCTCTATCTTTATAATATCATTACTTGGTTCAAATTGGCGACATTGTTAACTATTCCAGTCAAAATTGGAGATTTGACTTGCTGTTAATATTTCCAAGTACTGATGTTATGGCCTGATTTTAGTGTTGCTTCTGGCGTATAGGTTTCCGTGATTCTATGCTCGAGGTATTAAGCATGTTTCAGGAAAACAAGGAAGGGGGAATGTTTATAAATTCCTGCTTTGCTCATTGCCTGACTGTGATGGATACATGGCATTCACCTCATTCTCCAAGAATCAACAATAAGGTAAGCAATGATTTACCATGTACTGCATTATGAAGATGAAAATGATAGTGTTATGGATCTGCCACTATTTTTCGTGATCGAAAACGATGGTGGTGAGGTAGAATTAGGACTTAAAACCGATTGGTCTATAGGACTCACGAATCTGAATCTATGAATGCTGCAGTCTGGTCTGGTCTGGTTTGGGATTGTCTAATACTTATGCTAAAGGTTCATATTTGTTCTTCAATTGGAGTTTTAATTAGTAACCCCAGAAAAAGTACCCCCCTTTTTTTGTGGGGTTACGTTTTTTAAACAGACCATTGCCGAGTCCGTGGGTGATTGGTACTTTGGTCGGAAAGTATCGAAACAGATTGACCGCCCTTATCCATGCAATCCCACTTGCCATAACGTGGACTTCACGCAATCTTAATCAAGAACATCTCCGGTGTTAGTTTTCATTGCGATAGTTGATGTCAGATCATCCATTATTTGCAGCTGTGTGAATGGATTCTATGTTTGATAGGAGAAAGCGAGCTTCTTTGATCGGGCCGGTAATTTCTGTTACCCTGTGTGAAGTTTGATGAGTTCGAGCCCCCTGGAGAGTGTCTTCCAATTTCCCTCTTTTCTTTTTTCCATGAACAGTGTAGGTCACTGCTCTTCATTATTGATTCTCTGACTCGGGGATTTTCTCTTTGAAAAGATTTTTCGAAATGTGAGGAGTCGTCACCAATCATTTAAAGTGCGATTAGGATACCGTGAAAACCGGATGATTTTAATAAAACATTTTATTTTTATCAAAATATCAAGTTTTAAGGTCTGCGAAAATCCAGAAATCAAGTTCGGGGGTTGGTTACGCCTAGGGAAGAATTAACACCCCCACAAGCGCCCAAAAATTAATACCTAGTTGATTACCCTATTTTTAAAATCAAAAATTTTGAGTTCGATCTTTATTTAATTTAAAAATCATTATGGATGCAAAAAGTTGAAAAGAGGTATTCGTTTATTAAAGTTGATAGCATTCACCCCCTAGCATAAAAGCGAGAGATCAACTATTGTGCCTAATAATCGGACATTGTCTTAATTTTAAAAATCATGATGTGGTTTTGAAAAGGATGTCGATTTACTTTGTGAATCATCGGTAGTCACCCCTTGAGCATACTTGCGGGATATATACTATTAATCCCCTAATAAGTGAACATTGCCTTAGGATTAAAAATAAAATGCAATCAAACATATTTTATTTATCCTAATTAAGCTAAGGGTAAATTAAGGCTTTTTCTAGCTTAAAGTGTCAAATTATGAAAATTAAGGAACATAGGTGGTTAAACCTAAATGTAGGCTCTAATATTTACTCTATTCGATTTTTAAATTAGTTATTGAATCGAATAACCAAGATAGTCCCTCAAGCATTTAAGTGAGGGTCACCTCGAATTATTCCCTAAATTAAAGAGACTAAATCAAAATCTAGCTAAAAATGGATGCTCTATTTAACCTATTTGATTATGTCAATTTTAAAGGTCTAATTAAGGTTGGAGGACTAAAAGGTCAATATCTAAAATATCGAGTTCTAAAAGACTTCAAAGAATAAGGACCTAAATCAACAATTTCTAAAGTTGAGGACTCATTAATAAACCAAAATGTTAAGTATTATCTAAATTATTAAACCTAAAGTATATTTTAGAAAATAATAATTATCAATAAATTTTAAAAAGTTGAGCAATCGATTCGAGTAATCGGGCATTTTATACGAAAACTCGACTCGAATTGCTCTCTAATTAAACTAGAGTGTCATCCTAATTTCTAAATTCGATTCAAAGGTTAATCTAATCTAAGAACTAAGTCAAAATGTTTAAATTACGAAATAAGGAATATTTTAAAAAAAGTAATTAAAATTAAAATAATAAAAAAAAGAAAAATAACACAACATAAAAAAATAAGCATGCATAAGGACCAAATTGCATAATTGTCAAATTACCAAGATAAAAGAGAATAAATTAAACATATAATGGGGCTAAAATGAAACAAATCAAAATTAAATGGCTAAATCTAAACAAAATAAAAAATAATTTTAGAGATTAAAATGTAAAAACACGGAAAAATTACAGGGACTAAAATGCAAAAACACTCTAAATGTAAGTGGAGTAAACAAAAATTTCACCAAAAAAATATAAAGCATAAACCAAAAACAGGTAAATTATAAAAAACGACCCATGTCAGTGGCTTCTCTGCAAAAACATAGGAAAACTCGGGGGACCTCTGCGTGATTTCCCCCCAAAACTTTTCCGTAAATAACAATTTTTTCTTTTTTATAATTTTTTCATTTTTTGTTTTAAAAAAAGTTAGAGAGAGAGAGAGCCTCTCTCTCTAGAAAACGGCTGTCTCTGGTAGTCGGGCCCTCGCTGGTCGCTGCGTCACCTCCGTCACCGGTGGCGATTGGCCACCAAATTTCGTGGGCAAACTCATCTCGGGCTCCTCGTCACGGATCTAGGCTCGGTTTCACATGAAATGGCCTCCATCGTCGTGAAAACGACATAGACTGTTCGACTTTCTAGGCTCTAGTGACTCCTCCGACGACCCAAGGTAACTCCGATATACATCCCTTTTATTTTTAACATATTTTTACTGTAAAAAAAGTTTGACTATTGTTAGGAAACCTCGATTTTCCTTATATTATTCGATTCAAAAAATTTGTTTTTGTTAGTTATTTGATATGATGTTTCTATTTTTGAAATGAGACTAATGGATCATTGTAGCTTTCGAAGCTGGAGAAAATAAAAAACAAAAAAATCTTTCCTTTTTTTACCGAGATTAAAAATCGAACAGTAAAGAACAAACGAAGAAAAGAAAGAAAAAAATAAATGTAAACAAATAAATAAGACCAAAAGAAATTCGAAGTAAAAAATAAACTTTGGTGTTTGTTTATTTCTTTGGAAGAAACATTTACAATCTTTTTTCGAAATCCAGCCAGTCCTCTGGTTTTTCGTATAATTCTTTATACCTATTTACAAAGCAATTACAATGATCAATTTTGTTTTCTTCTAGGTTGTTTCTTGCAGGAGGGGTGACTGTGGCGTGTGGGAGTGACTCTAGCAGTGGGGCGGAGAGGGGTGGCCTCTGGTTGGGTCAGAGGAAGGGTGTAGGTTGATTGGTGGGTTGGCGGTTAGTTAGACCCGGGTCAGGTCTTAGTTGGGTATGGTTTGGGGCTGTTCGGGTTGGGTTCAGTTTGGGTCTACTTCTAGGTCGGTTGTGAAATAAAAAATGGCGCTCACACAAATAAATAAATGTATAGTGGACTTTCAAGTTTTGTGCTTCATAGGTTATAAATATAATATGTTTGAGGTTAAGAATATAAGAAAAATATGAGTGAAATGAATATGGTTTCTTTTATATGTCGTTATGCTTCTTTCCTTATTCTGTTTTATTCTCTAAATCATTGATTCTTCCTATTTCCTTTAGTTTTTTGTATTAGTCTCTTACACTCTCTCACAAAAAGAACAAGAACATATTTGTCGATTTCAACCATGTACTTCTTTGCGTATGTTTTTTTCATAGTGGGCGTAACTGAGCGGCGTATATTATAGTTCTTAATGACAACCACAACATATTCTTTTGTTATGAACGTTATTTGAATATAAAGCTCACCATGAACATGTTAGTTGTATTGCTCTGTAGCAATTGTGAAAATTCCGGAATGTTGAAATCTTCCATATCAACTGTTGTGAAGTGGGATGTTGGCTGGTAATAAGAAACATGAGTCACAACATGTAGAATGTCATCATCATTCACTCTCACTGGGATGTCAAGGTCTTCTGGTTCTTCATTGAAAATGTCTACCTCGTCACCATCAGGACTGGTCTCTCTTACCAGTTTTTCGTTAGAAATATTGTAACATCCTAGAAATCGGGTTAGTGACCAAAGTGTAAGATTTTAAAACTTTGTGTCTAATTTCAAAAAAATTAAAAGTTTAGGGACTTAATTGGAATATCTTGTGTAGGTTGAATAACAAAGATTGAAAGCTGAAATGGAAAAATGGTTATTAGACAAGGAAATTATTAAAAATTCATTGTTGGTGTTATATAAATTCACGTGGAAAAAGGAAATAGAGGGTAAAGAAAAATCTGGAGACTTTGGTTCATCTATAATCTTCTTCTCTTCCTGTGACTCCATTGGTAAGGTAAGTTGGTCTTAAGTTAATGTTTCCTTTTATTTTTAAGTTGGTTTTGATTCTTGAAGTGTTAGGAAAGCTTAAGAATGGTTAAAGAGAAGTAAAAACTAAAAGATTGACAAGTTATGAGAGATTAAAAATAAGGGGGTTTTAAGTGAATTGTTGAGAGAAAGTTTGTAAATGGATTTTGAAGTCATATTTGACTTGTCATCAGTCAGACTAAGAGATTTAAGTGGTTAGAGATGATTAATAAAAAAGTTGAATATTTGGTAAGATTTTTAGTTTCAAGTTTTCTAGTTAGATATTGGATGTTAAGATGAGTTAAAGTGATATAAGTTGAATTGTGTAAGTGTAGTTGAGTTTAAAGGTTTTAAAGAAGAGAAAAGTAATGAAGTTATCAAAGTTTTGGAAAATTTTCAGGTAAAATGAGTAAGTTTTGGGCAAGGGGTATCGATATTGGATGAACAATATCGATACTTCAAAGTAAAAATGGGTGATATATGTATCTGGGTATCGATACTGGATGAACAGTATCGATACCATAAGGTAAAAGTGGATGAATCCTTCAAAGAGTATGATACCAAAGTAGTAACATCGGTACTAGGGGTATCGATACCAATGTTCAAGTATCGATACCATTTTTTTGAAACAAATTCCAGAATGTAGAAAGAGTATCGATACTGAAGTATAATATCAATACCACAATAAGGAAGTATATGTACTGTACTTTGGGTACCGATACTATTCAAAGTGAAATGTTGAATTAAGTGATTCATTTAGCCTATGTTATTAAGGATTTATTATAGTGATACGAATTCTGATATTTATAAAAATCGTATTATTGTGTAGATATCGAACGAAAGCCATTTCGGGATGAATCGAAGATATATGTTTGAACAAGAGAGAGATAA